TTTTTTTTTTTTTTTTTTTTTTTTTGGACCAGGAGTCAAACTCAGGACCTTGCACTTACCAGGCAGTTAGTGTGTTAGATGTGTCTAAAGTTTCCTCAGGTTTGGTTCAATTTTCTTCATAATCTCACACTCAGCTGTGCCACTGAGATATATCCTGGCCCCAAGAAAGTACTCTTAGAAGAAATAAACAAACCTACTTTGTTTTTGCACAGCTAATCATTTTGAAAATTATTTATATGTAGTATGTATCAGTAATTTATTCTTTCATGTAAAGTACTTTAATGTACACTACAATTCACTTTTCTATTTACACTGGGTTTTCAGTTTGGGTTGTAACAAATCATGCAGCTATGAATATTCATATTCTTATATAAGCCTTTTTGCTTAATACATAATTTGCATGTGTTTTCATATTTCTTGGCTAAGTGCCTGTGCAAAGAATGGCTAGATTATAGGGTAAATGTGTGTTAAGCAAATTTTTTTAAAATGTCAAAATATTTCTTTATAGTTGCAACATTTTAGATTCCCACCATTGCACCTTCTTACATCCTTCACAGCACTTGGTACAGTCATTATGATAGCTGGATGGAATATTTCGCTGTAATCTTCATTTTCACTTACTAATGGCTGGTGAGAATAAGCACCTCTTCATGTGCCTGCTGCCATCCAAATATCTTCTGTGGTGAAATTTCTCTTAAAATCATTTTTCTATTTAAAAATGTTTGTTATTTTTACAGTTTTAGAGCTCTTTTTATATGTTGAGTGTGAAATTAATCAGTTACATGCATTTGTAAAATATCTCTTCTCTGTTAGAAGTCTGTCTTTAATTCTCTAAACAGAGCGAGAGTGAGAGTGAGAGCGTGAGGGAGAGGAGACGGGATTAAACGCAGACCCTATGCATGCTAGGCAGGCAGTCCCTGCTGAGCTGCCACACACTCGCGCTGCAGGCTGGTGAGCAACCTTCAGCGTAGGAGCCTGAGCGGTCACTCCAGATCCAACTGCAGCAGGTGCCAAACAGAAACTGTGAGTGCAGAGCTATGATGATGAGATAGGATGGCTGAAATGGAAACTCGTGCAGGAGCTCAAGAGCAGAGTTGAGCAGACAGAAGAAAGAGTTCAAGACTCCATAGGGAAAATTACTGGAAAAATTCAGCCTGAAGAATAGAAAGAAGAAAATTGAACCAAACCTGAGGAAACTTTAGACACATCTAACACACTAAGACACAAACATAGGATGGAGAGGAAGGGAGGGAGGGAGGAAGAAGGATGAGGAAGGAGAGGGAGGAGGAGAAGAGGTCGAAAGAACACGTATTTGAAGAAGCCATGGGCCCTAAACTTGTCGAACCTCCCAAATTAAAGTTCTAAAGAATGTAAAGCAGGATAAGTTCAGAGACCCACATCAAATCACATTGTTATCAAACTCTCAAAACATAAGAGTAGATTTTGACAGCAGCAAAGAAAAGCAACTTATATAAAGGCAATCTTTAATAAGAGTAGCAGCGGATGTCCCATAAGGAATGAAGGAATAGAGTAGTGGTGTGGCACATTTAAAATTAAAAAGAAAAAAATTTTCCTACAGAGCAGGAATTCTGTATTCAGCAAATTATGCATCAAGGATAAAGGAGATATTAAAACTTCTGAATTAAAAGCAGGAGAGATCATTACCAGAAGACCCATCCTGAAGAAGCTCAAGGGAGTTCTTTAAGCTGAAACAGAAGAAAATGAGCAGTGGGGTGGTGGCGCATGTGTCAAAATCTCAGCATTCAGGAGGCTGAGGCAGGAGGGTTGCTACAAGTT